TAAGAGGCCAAACAAGGGTTAGACTCCAGGAGAACGAGAATGCAAGAAGGAAGAAGTATGAAAACTCTTTAGTCCTACTAACACAAGTAAGATAATGTGTTAGATAATGTAAAATAACAATAAAAAGGAAAAAAAAAAGAACCTAAAGAACTAAGAGTCAAAGAAAAAAAACCAAACTAGAAACTTAGAAAAAACTGGGTGAACTTGAGCAACGTTTTTTAGGGGGTTACAATGTCCAAATATTTAGGACAAATTCTTGAATGTCTTTCAATGTATGTAGAAACACCTGTAAATTTTCAGAACCAAATACCTTGAGTAGTATCCAGTAGTCTCTGTTGAACAGTGAGTCCTCAAAGAGTCTATTTTTCGTGATCGCTTTGTTTGAAGGTGTTATTGATCTCCAAAAATTATAATTTTTTAATGATATGCAATATATGTAGTTTCAATCTAGAAATTTTCACCATGAAATTCCTCCTGTAGAATTTTCAAGAAATTCGACAAGATTCTAGACCGAATCTGCAATGAAACTTGAACGATGTATTTGAAGACTCTAATGAACTCCGATTGGAGTGAATTTTGGGCTGGAGATTACTCCTAGGATGAATATGAGATCTGAAGAAAATAATCCCTAAATTCCTTTATTTTCAATTTTTCAATTTTTGCGACTTGAAACAATGAATCTTTTGTGAACTAGCTCCGTTAGGGTACCTTGACGGTTTTGGGTTCAAGAAAAAGCAAGATTGCTTTCTTCTTTCCAAGAATCGACCCAAATCTGATACCAATTGATAGGAGAAGTGGTGGTGGATTAATGAGCGTTGCTCTTGTTGAAGAATCAAACCTAGAAAGCTCTAGACTCGATGAAAAACAAAGGGGGTGAATAGTAGAAGGGGTCTACCTTATGAAGGTGAATGGTAAAGATGATGATGGTGAGGATGGATTTGTGAAAAAATAGATGGATAAGTGTCATATCAAACCCTCTTAGTCGCAATGAAACGGCAAACTCGATAATATGGCTCTAAGTGTCCTATCGAACCCTCCTAGTCGCAATGAAAAGGCAAACTCAATAATATGGCTCTAACCAACCTTCCTAGTCACGATGAAAAGGAAAATTGGAGTGTGAAGATTAATCTCCCTCACAAGAACTTGAAAAAAACTCTAGGAGAAAAAGCTTCGAAGGCACAAGGCAATCAGCACTTTCAAAAACGAACTCTCGTTGTATTATTAATCAAAGAAATATGTTTTACAGAGTTGAATGAAACCTCCTTTATATAAGGGCTGAGTTCTAAAGGTCCTAAATAACTAACGAATAAAATAATAACAAACTAAACATGTCTTAACTCGAATTCCTAATAAAATAATAATAACAAAAAATAATATTTTAACTCAACCTTAATTCCTAATAAAATAATAAATATAATCCTAAAAGATAATGCATCATCCTATATTAAATTATATTACAAATAATCAATATAAATATTGAAAATTCATAATATTTACAAAATCACGTATTAATCTCGTATATGAATTTCTACATGTGTTGTCTTCACTAAAATAAATGTATCTTGAGTTCCCGATATCATATTGATGCAATTCAAGAACCGTTGAAAAGATAAGAGACAGAAGGTTGTATTTAAAGAGACATGTTGACCAAATAAGATCAGGATCCCATTCAAAAAGTCATCCTAAGTCTGTTGTTATTCTGGTCTTCTTTTCCAAGGCTTGGACGAGTTGATCATTTGGAAGAGTTATTACTTTTTCCTTTGATGCGAGCCTTGTAATACATGTATCAGATACCCACTTTCAATATTTATACCATTTCTACATTCTGTATCCATGGAATCGATATTTTTCTCCTAGTATCGAAAATTTTATATTATGGTATCGATACTCCATTACAGTATCGATACTATTTATGCGTTCTGTAATCAATGGTATCGATACCTTCCTCTTAGTATCGATACCCCATTAGTATCGATACTAGTTGCATCAGTATCGATATTGTTTAACTTATTTCTTCCAATTTTAAGCTATAATATCGGTACTATTCTTTTAGTATCAGTACTATTCTTCTAGTACCGATACCCTTACCCATATTTTCCATTTCAGCCCGATTTTTACCCATTTTTGGCCAATTTCCCTTATTCTTACCTCCAACTATACTATCAAACTCTTCTTTACTTATCCCAAATAACTTCATTTCTTTTAGCTACTTCTAACATCTACCATCTCTAAAGAACGTTTCAATCCAAGAATCATGTCACTTTTTCTAACATGTTTTTAATCCCATCAAATGCTCCTAATCTCTTAGTTACTTCTTTGACAAGTCAAATATACTAATAAACATCAATAAATAATCATATTCTAACATATCATTTGAAAACCCATTTTCTTAAATCTCAAATATTTCATCCATCTCCTAGTTTTAGTCTTATTTAACCATTTCTTAAGCTTACATATCACTTAATTTGCAATAACCAAATAGGATCGAAAGGAAAAACCAGTTAGATGAGGCTTACCTTTAGCTATGGAGGATATAACACTCAACCACGGGAATAAGAAGAAAGGAGTAAATAACTTAGTATAGTTTTTAACTTTCCCATTTTTCTTAAATCCCTAATTTTAAATTCATTTCACTCTAAAATACTAAAATTCCCTTTCATTCTTCCATTTCTTAATAATTGGTCTTACTTAAATCATTTCTTATACTTTACCGTTTATTTAATTTAATCTTTCAAATTTTAATTCCTTTAAAAATAGTCATTAACCTACTATTTGGGGTATTTCACCCTTTATAACCTGAATGATGGAATTATGCTTGTTATACCTGAATCTTAAATAATTATGATGTAAAGGTTCCTAAATACCTTTCTGATACACCTAAAATCATAAATAGTTCCAAAGCACAAATTTCTAAATGTCTTATTTGATCTGCTAATAGTCAAACCCTTTTAATAGATATCTTGTTTCAGAAATCTGAGTAATATACATAAGTTTTGTGTATCCCTTCCTGATAACTACCAAGTGCCTCTAGAAAGATATATGAATCCTCTAGTGTGTTCCTCATGCACATAAATATTTTATCTGCTTTTAAAAGTATGACTCTGATATTTGAAATAAAAAAAATATGATTTTTGATCTCTGGATTCTGATACTAGATACATCTGGCTCCAACTCTGATATTACTATTTAACTTGTTTTATATTGGAGTACTTTTTGGGATCTGTTATAGAGCTCTACAAGTTGAGCCTCGATCAAGCTGGTATATCCTTACGGTCAGATGGCGACCTTTAGGTGAGCTCCTGGGCTCAATGGTCCAAGTGGTAAGACCTTATGGACTCTATGGAACTCCCATAGGGTGGCTTATTCGCTTTGTGCTTAGGGAAAGTACTTATGGACCTTAGAGTACTCCCCTCAGGTGGCTCCTACGCTTCGGCTAGTGTGAGTCCTTAAAGACCCAATGTGCTCTCTTAGATTGGCTCCTACGCCCAATGAGCCTAAGGTAAGTCCTTATGGATTCAGTTATGGGGAACTACATATGGAGTGTTTCGTTAGAGGGTATTGCAGTGGCTTTAAAAAAAATTGTTTTACTAAAATAAACTATTATTGTTTTTAAAATATGATTTCATTTACTCTGGTTTTTTTTTTGGAAACACACTATATGTCTATTTTCAATCTCCTGAACCAGTCCTCTGAACGTTTCCTCTGAACTATAAGCTTAATGTCCGTTACCTGAAGAAATATCAGTGGAACCTCAACTCATCATTCAGTTATGGGGAAGTACATATGGAGTGTCGTTAAAGGGTATTGCAGTGGCTTTTAAAAAAATTGTTTTACTAAAATAAACTATTATTGTTTTTAAAATGTGATTTCATTTACTCTGGTTTTTATGGAAACACACTAGATGTCTATTTTCAATCTCCTGAACCTGGTCCTCTGAACGTTTCCTCTTAACTATAAGCTTAATGTATGTTACTTGGAGAAATATCAGTGGAACCTCAGCTCATCACGAAAACCTGTAGATGCCTGAATCAAGAAGGAAATTTTATGCTTGCCATTTATTTGCATGTCCTTCAACATCATCTTGTAGTTCTGTATTACTGAGCCTCCTAAAGCTCACTCTTTTATGCACTTTTTCAGGTTAAAGAATCAATCTTGTACAGCTATCGGCATCAATTATGGGAGTTCCTTCGGTATTTCTTGCAGAGTACGATACATGTATGATTAGAGGGCATGTGGGTCATAGACTGTTTTCATGTCAGAGTATGAAATTTATTTTGATATTGTATATGATTTAATTATGTTTTATCATCAGAATGATTCTTGAATTTTTATTTTATTTATAAATTATTTACGCTTTGAAATGGTTTAAGAAAATTTTTATTTTTCTCATTTTTATGGTAGGTTACTCCGATGACCTTAATTGACACCCCTGATCGGATTGGGTCACCCGCATCGGTCTGTGGGGGTTATAGTTTAGGAACCAAACGCATTAAGTTTTTAACGGTAAAATACTGAAATGAAATGAAAACTGAACTTTAGGTATGGTTTTTAAAATTTTGAAAGTTTAGATCTTGAAACAGACTAAAACTAATAGTTAGGTACTAATTGCATATTTTACCCAAGAAGAACGTGAAAAACACTAGCCCTAGCTTCGATCTGCTTTATAAATACGTGGTGCATTGCATTTTGTAATTTATCTCATCACTCTCAACTAAGCTACCCTTCTCCCCCGATGCTTCTCCTTCGTCTCGTCGTCTCTTTTGTAATCTCAAGACACACTTCTTTTTTCTTTTGATCAAATCCGCCATTGTTTCTGAGCTTTATTTTCTCTTTTCATTTGAAGCTGGAGCTGTTCCTTTTCACTCTTCCTTAACTGCACCTTTATAAAAACATATCAAGCATGTAAGTTTTGCCTTTACTACTTCAAGTCCTACTAAAAAAACAAAAAAGAAAACATATCAAGCTGCACTTTTATAAAAAATATATATAAAAAGAGTTTGTTTTGGTGAAAAAGAATGCCGGACGAAGAGACGGCAACCCCGACCGCGTCGGCGCCGGCGACGCCGGGAACGCCGGGCGGGCCGCTGTTCACTTCGATGAGGGTGGACTCATTGTCTTATGATCGGAAGTCAATGCCGCGATGCAAATGTCTTCCGGTTACTGCCCCGACGTGGGGTCAACCTCATACATGCTTCACCGACTTCCCTGCGCCTGACGTCTCTCTTACCCGGAAGGTACGCTGCCGCTTTGATTGTTTGATAAACTATACATTTAGTACCTCAATTATTGTTTTCTTTTGATTTTGTAACTCAATTATTATTTTTTAAAATTATATCTAATATTACATTTTAATTTTATTTCGATCACATATTGTTAGAAATTAATAGAGTCACACATGTGATATTTTTTATTTTTTTCTAATGATGACATGTTAGCTTCACCATTAACTTTTTCACAATTGATGATCAAATTAAACTAAAATATAACATTAGGTATGATTTTAAAAAAATAATAGTGAGCGATCAAAACAGAACAAAATAATATTTGAATGATAAATGTGGTTAATCCTTAATTTTTAAATATAATCTTTGTATTTAATTCTCTACATATCCCTATACTTCTATATTCAGTTTCGTTCTGATCACACATCATTAAAATTTAACAGTCATATTGATGTGTTATCATAAAGTAATATCATGTAAAAAATAAATAAAAATTATTATGTCAGCAATTTAGTTTATCTTTTAACAATGATAATTAAAATATAATCAAATACAATTTTTTTTAAAAAAAATAGATGTATTACTAAAACAAAAGTGTAAAGTTTGGTAGGTGACTAAATATGTAATTTATCCTTTTCTTAATTATGATTTCGGTTCATATTCAATTACGTCCAATGGGGTATGGACTTATGTGTGCAGCTGGGGGCAGAATTCGTGGGAACCTTTATCCTTATATTCGCGGCAACAGCCGGACCTATAGTGAACCAAAAGTACGGCGGCGTCGAGTCGCTGATCGGAAACGCCGCATGCGCGGGGCTGGCGGTGATGATAATAATCCTGTCAACCGGACACATCTCCGGGGCTCATCTTAACCCTTCCCTCACCATTGCATTTGCCGTCTGTCGTCATTTTCCCTGGACTCAGGTTCCGGCCTACATAGCGGCTCAGGTCTCCGCCTCTATCTGTGCTTCGTTCGCCCTCAAAGGAGTCTTTCATCCCTTCATGTCTGGCGGCGTCACCGTGCCCTCCGTCAACTACGGACAGGCTTTCGCGCTCGAGTTCCTCATTACGTTTAATCTCCTCTTTGTCGTCACCGCCGTCGCCACCGACACCCGCGCGGTATGTTCGTCTCTTCTCCCTCCAATCGTAACAATTCGGTTTAAGACAAGGGAATGCCATGATTAAATGTAACCATGTTTATATTACAGGTCGGAGAGCTGGCCGGAATAGCAGTTGGAGCGACCGTAATGCTCAACATTCTTGTGGCTGGGTTAGTACCTTAATCAATTTACCATGTTTTAATTCATTTTCATATTGTCTCAATTTACTGTAGTGTACGGACAAAAAATGGAGAATTAATGATCAAGCAATGTCAAATGGTATTAGAATATTAGAAATATTGTATACAACTTAATTGATTTATCAAAAGGATCAAACGTTGTATTTAATAACATTAATACAATATTTAGGATTTTTTTCACACTTTAATTTTATTTTTAGGGATATTTATATGAATAGAAATAAATTATTAATATTATATTAAAGTTTTTTAATAATATAAAATAATTATAAGATAATATATATTTAAAATAATATATAACATACTCATATCTTACATACATAGTTATTTAAACCCCAATACTTTAGAGAAAACAATATTTATTTTATTATTGAGGACATTCAATATATTTAAGTAAATTATTTATTTAGTCATCAAACTATTCACACAATTTTATTTTGATCACCAAATTTTTTTTAAAAAAATAATACTTAAAGTTACATTTTAGTCATTCGACATTAAAAAATTAACGATATTATTAATATTCATCATAAAATAATGTCACTTCATCTTTGAGAACAATAATCATATTAACTGTTTTTTTTTTTATTAACAACAGAAAACCAAAATTTAACTTCAAAAAAATAATTAAGTAACTAAAACATAACTATAAGAATAACTAGATAATTAAATATGTAGTTTATCTTAAATTTAGAATCAACATTGGATATCAATTTAAAATTTTATCAAATTGAAGTGCCAGGTTATAGAATAAGGCTTGAATAAAATAGGGTATATATATTATGCATTTAGTACATAAATTATTAATTTTGATTTGTTTTAGTATCTAAACTTTTAGTTTTTTTTTCAAAACCATAACTAATATTTAATTTTTTGTTTTATTTTAGTACATCATCGTTAAAAACTTAATGTGTTTAATATCTAAACTATCAGTTTTATTCCGTTTTAGTACCTAAATTTTTTTAAAAAAAATCAAAGATTAATGTTAAATTTTGAAATAGATACTAAAATGAAATAAAACTAAACTTTAGGTATAGTTTTGAAAAAATTAAAAGTTTAGATAATAAAACGATCAAAACTAATAATTTAACTACTAAACGCGTAATTTACCCATAAAATATGAAGTAGTGATGAAAGGGTGAAAATAGAGTAGTGGTTGAGCTTGGGTTTGCACATTTTGCAGGCCATGTAGTGGGGGTTCAATGAATCCAGTCAGGACATTGGGGCCAGCGGTGGCAGCAGGGAATTACAAGGCACTGTGGATATACTTAATAGCACCCACTCTCGGCGCCGTGATCGGTTCCGCCACTTACACACTGGTGAAGCTCCGCGATGATGACTCCCAACAGCCGCGCCAAGCCAGGAGCTTCCGACGCTAATCATATCATCCTTTGAATCTTCTTCTTTCTTCTAGTGCATGTCCCTGTAAAATGAAAAACACGCACATATATGTAATGATTGTGTGGGGTAAGGGATAATAAGCGATGTGACCTCAAGTCCACCAACTACATACCTTGGTTGAATTATGTTGCGCTTTGTTTTGTATTTTCCTTCTTCGAATGTCTTTGGGATTTTCTTTTTTGTCTGTCTTAATGATGCACCACTCGGGGGTTTGATCTGTAATTTCCTTAAGCCATGCTTGTCAATACACAAGTTTATCATGTATGAAACTAGCTGGCCAGCCTTGGGATGCGTGACTCTCTCTGAATCATACTGCCAAAACACCATAATAATAAAAGTGGTCATGAATGTGTTACAAGAAAAATGGAAATGCATTGCACGAAGTAACGATCTCAGTAGCTAGAATGATGGTTATTATTAGGGATGATAGACATATATAATTTCTTGTATTTTGTATCGTACTTGTTTCAATTGAGATGAGGATGAATATAAGTTTAATAGGTAATGGGAGGGTGTGGATATAAAAAATTATACGCGCCGTAGGTAGTGGGTAGATGATTGATTTGAGTCCCACCTCGCATTCGCCCGTCCCACATTCGTCAACCCACTGCCATATAAATTTTTTACCATTATGAATTTAGGTATAATTTTAGAGACTATTTTATAAATCTTATAATTTTGTTAGACATGATTTGTCGTTCAACCAAATGTTAGGATATAAACATTTTTAGAATTGACAAAACGTCATTTCTTCTATCTCAAATTGATAGGTTTTAATGGATACATATGGGTATGGAATGGGTAGTGACTATTCAGTTGAGTAGTGGGTGTGAGGATGTATTTGAGAGTGTATTCACGTGGGCGGTTGTGGATTTAAAAGTTTTACCCATCGTGGGTGGTGGATAGGTGGTGGATACAAAAATATTATGTGGATATGGAGATATATGAAGGGGTATTCGCACCGCCCCGCCCGTTTGCCATCCCTAGTTATTATCATTAAAAGTCTCGAGTTCAAGCATGTTATCTATAGATATATAAATAATTAAAAGTATTTTGAACAGGTACTGCTTTATAATTATTCTATACTAGTGAAAGAAATGATAAGGCGTTAATATCGGCTCAAGATGTAACACCATAACAATTTACCCTTCAATTAGTCCGATCCACTAGATGAACAGGTAACACCTGCAGCATGGAATTATGTCGCCTATGCAACCAACTAATAGGCAGTCGACAGGAATCCATACGAGTGCGAAAACATGACATCCAATACATGAATTCATGTTCCAATGAAAAATGCATTTACTACCCTAATTTCATCTCTCTCTATATATTATCTTGCATTCATTTCGTCATGAAAGTAAACAAATAAACGTGATGTTCTGGATTCTCTCATCTTTCTGACTAGTAGACATCTTGTAATAAATGCAGCATTCACGTTGAACCAAATACATTTTTTAGGCTTACCTCCCCAGGAGCAAAACAACTATTCAGCAGATCCCGCGACCCATAATTTCCTGCAAATTATGAGGGAGGGATCTTATCTCTACCAGGAGCATATTTACTGCATAATAAATAAAGACGTGATGACAAAATTAGTCCTATATATTTGTTGATATGATCATTTTAATTTATTTATTTTTGTAGAGCATTTTATCTTTAATATTTCAATTTTTTATTACAATAGCTCATGATGGATGGAAATTATTAGTTGATTGACAGTCAACATATGTTGGTTATATAGCATGTGCCACATCACTAATTAAGAATATGTGAAAATGTCATATCAAGAACTTGCGTTAACTGTTAGTTAACTAACGGTTTCCATCAAACAGTGACTATTTTGACAAAATTGAAACATTAAGGATTAAAATACTAAAAAAATGTAAACAAAGTGCTCATTTATGCAAATTTTGAGAGCTTATTTTGTCATTATATCATAAATAAACAACAGGTTTCACCGAATCAGGTTATATGAGTTGAAACCAAGAAAGAAACAGTACTCCACAGGCTAAGTAGAACATGAAAGCCATATGCAAAGAATCTATGCTTAAAACAACATAACAAAAAATAAATTGATATGAGAAATACACATAGAATGCATATGAACATGAAACTAAGCATTGCCATAATATACACGGTATAACTATATAGGCCATTGAAATCAACAGGATTGTGCACTAACTTGAAGGAGTTGTAGCCACTTAGCCCCACTATGGCTCGAGAGGATCTGCCAACTTTATGGGGGATGGATTTGGAATTCTAAAAATTAAGGAATAAAATTATTCCTTATTTCTAGAAGTTGACTTAGTATAAATAGTCTCTAAATCGTAGTTCTAGATTTTTAAGAATCATTTCGTACTATTTGTTGTCTATTTTCCTATAAATTATAAACTATTGATTCTTAGGAAGATAGAGAAAAGTAAAAATACTTTCACCTCTTAGTTTTGTTCATTGTATCAAAGCTTTAAGTCTTATTTTCCAAATCTGAGACTTCACACATGACTCAAAATATCGCTCAGGTAACCTCTCATGGTAACATCACTTCCTCCTATAATCATTAAACATTGTCTAGATGGAAAGAACATTTTGCAGTGGTCTCAATATTTTCTCATGGTGATTTGAGGCCATGGAAAATTGGGATACATCAACGGGGAAATTGTAACACCCCAAATTCTGGGCTACTAGTTTCGAGTTTACCGAGAGGTAAAAGACCCATGAAATTCATAAGTAAAGTCGTTGGGCTTCATTGGGTTTGGATTTGGACCAATTAGGATTAAATAAAGGATTTTAAATTGTAGAAAAACAAGAAAATGCTAATTGTGCATTTTCCCCAATTTACAAATTAGGGTTTTATATCTCATCTTATTTCTATTCTCTTCAGTCTCTTCTTCTTCATTTCTCATTCCTTCATCTTTTCTAAGAGCCATAGTTCCAAGGTAAGGTCTTGAACCTTTTTCTTGTTTCATTTTCATTCTTAATCCCCTTGCAACATAGTTTTAAAGAATTAAAGTCTTGGATTTTTCCTAGATAAAGAAGAGTGGGGGTTCATCCAAATCACCAAGGAGAAGAGTGTGGCTAAGCAAGGAGGTTCATTTCGGGATTCAAACATCAAGGTAGTGTATTTATAATCCTTTAGAGTATTAAGTTCTCATAAATTTAGAGATTTTGTTAAGATTTGATGATTTGAGCATTTTAGGGTTTATCTTTTATTTCTCAAGCAAATCACGTTTTAGGTGTTAATAACACATTTTTATGATACCTTAAGACCCTAAACAATTTAGTAAAGCTTCAAAATAAGTTTAGAAACCAAACCAAGTCTTTTGGGATGATTTTTGAGTGATTTTCGAGCCTAAATAAACCTTTTCAGGGTTCGAGTATCGATATTGGTTGAATTGGGGCTAAAATTAGGGTTTTTAGGAGGGAGTATCAATACTTCAAAGGGGAATATTGATACTACAGGGACAATATCGATACTGAGACCCCATTTTCACAACAAATGCATTTTTTGTACTAATAGTAGGGGTATCAATATTTTCCCTGGGGCATCGATACTGCGAGTATCGATACTACTCACTTTGGATGGTTAGATTTGATCTATTTACGGCCCGTAAGAGCTAAGGACGGTTCGTAATAGTAAGACTTAGTCCGTGAGGGACATAAACAACCTATCATACCTAGAAACACTCGTAGGATTGGGTTACAACCGATGTGATCGTATTAAGCATAATATGTCGAAATAACTTCGGTCGAGGACATATACAGATTGTTGAAGACAAGGATTGTTGCATGGGATGCACCAACAAGAGGTACAATGAATAAGTCAGATTTGATAATAGAAAAAATGTGAGTTTCGAGAACGTTAGTGAACCCGAAAAGTATAAGTCGTCCCTTTCAGTTCAGGAGGTATTGAAGGGAAGTACGATAAGAAAGACTAGAGCGTCGTTATTCAATAATGAACCCGAGTCAGGGATCAGGCTAGCTAGTGCTTCAGATAATTATCAATAAACTCAGTAATCGTCATTTAATTCACGAAATGTGTAGAGACTTCCCTTAATCCAAAGAGACTAAAGCGTTATTAAGTATCGAATGATCCGAATAGAGTTGCTCAATAAATAATAACTGTAACAGTCTAATAAGCCTTCGCATAACATTCCAGGTGAGAGAACATGTGAGATAACAACTAGTGATAGGATAACTCACTTTAGTGAGTCCAGCTATGCTAGGTATTGTCAGGCTACTTTAGTTACCCTAGTAGGGCATTATCAGTGCACGAGGCACTTCAGGAGCTAACTAGGGTGAGAGGCCTGAACACTCACGAGAAGTGGGTTTACGATGTCAGAGTTGTGTGACCTTTGAGCCTTAGGTATGCATGGGTAGTAATGATTATGAATTGCCTTAAGGGCATAAGACACTAAAATACTGTTAAGCTTTGACATAACGATCTAAGAGAGGGAAAGATCAAAATATTAGTACGTGATAGATCGTTCTCACCTGCTTGTGTTGTAAATGATAATAATGACAAGATAAAAATACTATATGGGTGATAGCCATAAGAACCTTATGAGGTAAGATTCCATAAGACTTATGATTTTGTTTACTGCTCGAGAAACGATGAGGACACCCGAGCTACTTGTATGCACGACGATCATCTAAAGTATATATATGTGAAATATCCATATATATGACAGCAGTGCTAAGGCACTTTAGTATCAGCGCGAATGCACTTTCGTATCAATATTGAGGCACTTTAGTACCAGTACTAAGACACTTCCGGGTATTGATAGCAATGCCAATAAATATTTGTATATTTGATGTTTGGTTATGTATCATTCTTATTTCATTCTGTCATTTTGGTATTACGGTTAGAGACTCAATATTTGTATACTCATGGCGAGACTCTTAGTAGAAGACTAAGGGAAGTATGAGACTCAAACTATAGCGATAGAGCTATTGAACCTTAAGTAGGTAGCACTTGATCTAGATCTTGCAT